CGACCGCTTCCAAACGAGAGAACCGCTGCTTCCAGTTGGAGAGAATATTCGCCACGTTTCCGGCGGAAATCTTTTTATACGAATTTCTTTTTCGCTTCCCAACAAGTACGACTGCGCTTGGTCATCACTCTCCTACAGAAATGCTCTAAAAGCCTTGCCGCTATTCAGACGCATGTCGCGTACTGGCTGATTAATCGATTACGGACTTGCTGACTATGCTGACTCGTTATTTGTGGCGACGGCAGGAAACATTTTCTACAAACGAAATTACTGAATATTTTCCAACTCTGTCCATCGCCGCGTCCTCTAATTGTAGTTATCCGTAAGTTTTGATTCACGATCACTTTTGGTTGACATAGCGAACTGTGGTGCTCGTGCTCCCTACAGAGCCGGATGTCTGCTTGACTGAGGACTGCTGTCGGACTGACTGTCTTACTGCCAGAATGTCTGACTCACTGACTCACTGACTCACTAACTCATTGACTCACCGACTGACTTAGCTAAACATATTTTCTATTTTTAGTCAGTGATTGCAAGGCGATTACATTGCTTCGATTGCTTCGAACACGTGTAACCGTAAGTACGAGGCGGTGAACCACGATCAATCCGATTGCCAAACCAATCGAATATCATTTTCCTCTTTGTTTAGTCGCTAAGTTCATTCGGTTTAATGTAGTGATTCCCTCCTGTATCATACTCGTTTCGCATTTTGCGATCTGACACAGGCGATTATGCTTATCAGTGTCAGCGTCTCATACATCGTTTGTCACTATCTCGATGGAATACCGTTCAATTGACTGCAGTGATCTCTTATCAAGGACAATCTGGCATGGACTCATCGACGTCTGACAGAAGTGCGTTTAATTCGCAGCATATTACTGGTCGACAAAGACGGGGAAACCCGTCGCCTTATTTCCCTTTCAGAACATAAATTTTCACGTTTCACACGGCTGAGTTGATTGAGAACTGAATTTTCCGTCAGCAACGGTATCACTGGCAAAAAAGCGATGGCGACGAAAACGAATATGTTGATTATGATGAGGATTAATATGGTGGTGACTACAATGAATACAATAATGCAACAGTGATGATGATGACAGCA